TAATTCCGTAAAATGTTCATCGTAACTTTGAATTCGATTCCACTTGCTCCTACACGTTCATAACGACGAGTACTACGAGGATACGCCAAGAAAATGAATCTTACGTGACACGGCGGTCAATAGAAAGAAAATCCCCATTCACGACGAAGGATTCAGCTTCTGTTTGTGGAATCCAACGGCAGACGACGATGTTTGTTGTTTTTGCTCGAGGTTAATTGGACGGTCGGATCTGCTTCACCGTTAAACACTACTACACCGGATCCAGGATGTTTATTTTGTCAATATGACTTTTATATTTGGGAGGAGGATTCTCTCCCTTCCTAATCTCTCTCCCCTTCAATCCTTTTCTATTTGAACAGTTACGGTTTAATCATGTCAACATCTTATATTAATTTTTTTTATAAAGACAATAAGACGAAAAACAATATGTGAGAGGAGGGGAGGAAAGGGTATGTGAATAGCAGGGGAGAGAATCCTACTTCTTTCTTTTCTGTCAAAGTTGCAGATCTCATTGTTATTTGTTTAGTTTGTATTTAATAGATATAATTGTATTATTATCGATGTCTTATTTGTTATTTGTGTACAGAGTATACAATTCCTTGTTGGCTATGGATGTCTTATTATCGATTTAGGTTCGGTTTGTATTTAATACATATAATTGTATTGGTAGATCTGGAGTACTTTCTCTGCATGCTTAGGGTAAATTGTTTGCTTATTCTGGGAGCAGCTATTCCGAGATTGATTGATAGGGTGAATATTGAATCTGTCGACATTAAAGGGACTTGGTTAGTATGGCAAAAGTTTTGTTACTTTATTTTCACGGAACTAAGAGACTAATTTTATTTTTGTATCAAAGATTCATTCATGATCACATATTTATGTGCGCAGGGTCTTTGATTGGTGGTGACCCAGAGCAACAATTTGCAATGTGTTGTGAATGTTTGCAAATGTGCTTCAACGTTGACGTCAATGAATTTCTAAACTCGTGATTACATTGACTAGCCTAATGCCTAGGCATAATGCGAAAGAGTGTAGCCTTAACCACACGTGTGCATAATGTTGTTTTTACTAATCGAAGCAACTGCTGACATTGTTGTAAACTTTGCTTCTTCCTTTATTCTTTCAACGTTGAGGATTATTTCGTTGTTTTTATACAATCGAAAGTTGGTCATGAAACATGAGTGATACGTTTCTATACAAGTTTCGGTGGGGCACCCCATAGAAAACAATTTTCTGTTCTGTAGCAATGTGGTTGAAAGCTACCAGATTTTCTGTTTATGTTGAGCAAAGCTATGATCAACATCTGCTATATCCATAGAAAACAAATCATCCCTCGTGTCCTTATTTGTTATGCTACTTTTTTAACAGTTTCATAGAAAACAAATTGATCGCTTTCACTGTTGAAAGCAACTAAACTCTTTTACCAAATCAAAATCTCTTTTTCAAGCTTTAATATTTCACTTTAGTTTTTTGTTTTTGCCTTTTTGAATGGGTAGTATTGTAATTTTGGAGACATGCTACATGAATGCATTTATACATTGTTGTACTAACAAAATACAAATTTTTAGTTTCAGATCGAAATGAGTATATTTCCAATCCAAAGTTTGGGTCCATTTGAAGCTACCAAAAAATTTAGAGTTTGTGTTAGCAAAATGTGGAGACAAAAAGTTTTCAAATCTGATATTCAGTTTTCTCATTTGCTCTGCATATTGCTTGATGCATTGGTAAGAAAAATATCTACTTACACTATACAAATGTAAAGATTAGTTAACTAATTTTTTAGTTTAATGGCTGTTTGGATGCATAAAAATCTTTTTTGTTCAAATGTCCTTTTGAATGGATAATCAAATCGATATAGATTTTGTTTTTATCCTTTCTTTATCAGTTTATCTTACTTATTTGAGCTAAACACAAATCCCAATATTGCATAGTTAAGTCCTAAAATTAGAACACAATTTCTTTACATGAAACTGAAGTTTTCTCTAATTGAGAACTTTCTATTTGTTCAAATTGTGTTACAAATTTTGTGTTTTTTTTCTTTTTTCTTTTAACCGGTGGACTTAAAAGAGATCAAGTATGCAGGGGATTGGTAGGATCAACATATAAGAGGTAGAGGTCAACTCTTTCTCTCATGTTAACTTCTACTGTGATCTTTTTGTTATTAAATTTTGGTGGAAACATTGTTTAGTATAAACCTTATCACAATACAATATAAAGATGGATTAGAAATAGAGAGGTGTTAATTTGATTTTCTGTTTACTTTAGCGATTCTGGATAATGATCATGAATGTTAGTGATATTGCATCTCTGTTTTTTTCTTTCTTTTATACCATGATTATGGATTTTGTTTATTTCAAGCAAGTTATTGTGATAGCTGAATGATTCATATTGCAGAACATGCTTAAAAAATTATAGCTTTAACTGATCACTCATCTTTAATCTCTCTCCCTCCCTCTCACTATTGCAGTAACTCCCATTGTATTCTGTTTGCTTTTGTTGTTGCTAGGGATGGCAACGGGGGCAGATTGGGTTCGGATGTGCCATTTCCATAACCGAACTTGTTTGTTTTTCCCGTACTTGAAACTGTAAAAAATCCGAACGGGTATTCCCCGTAACCTGTAGCGGATTCCCCATCGGGTAACGGTTTTTCCATTAGAAAAGTTAACCTTCCACAAGTAAATATTCCTCGACGTGCCTTCGCTGTTCGCTACGAGTGGATTGATTGGTTCTTCTGGGAAGCCCTTGACATCAACTTGCGGCTGCACATCAAAAATTCCAAAATTCAATAAAAATGCAAGCTTTATCAGTTGAGGCAGTTCATCTAACAGGTTGTGTGCATAAGAAAGGAGGTGATCTTACCTTGTACCAGGACCAATACTGGACAGAGTCAGAGGAGGCAGAAGGATCGCAGAGTTGAGAGGAGGCAAGGAACCGTTCGCCGACGCAGATGAAGCCAAGGTTGAAGGCTTGAAGCAATATCTGCTGCTACTAATTTGTAAGAGAAAACAATTAGGTTTTTCTTCCCAAAATTGAAGTATTGAACCATCTTTTCTGACCTTGGGAGTTCTTCCAAATTCCATGATTGATTGATAGCATTAAAATATTTCGAATAAAGATTGAGACCTTTGAAGTTTGCAGTCTGCGCTACACAATCTGCACGCTCAAGAGGTATATTTTCTGGAAGAACTCAAAGGCTTTGAAGTGTGCACTGCACGCTAAACACCTTTGTAGTCTCTCATAGAGTATTAAAGTTGCTGGAGAAAAAAAATAACAGTAATGCTATTCTTATTATATTTTTATACTATGTTTATATACTATTTTATGTAACATATGATGTGAACAGTCACTTCATTTAATTAAAAAAAATTGGAATTAAATAATGATTGTAGCATACGAGAAGTCTTATCTTTCCTTCCATGTTCAATTTCTTCTACCGTTTCTTTTTCCACTCAAATTCTTTCACGCTATTTTTTCAGGTTAGTTAAATCAACCATAATCTAAAATAAAAAGGGACTGATACTTTTACGTTGTTGAGTGTTGGTAGACTGGTTGATGGGTTTCTTGCAGAAATTGCACATGACCCAAATCTTAACCTCAGCAGTTTCGTGGAGTTGTCACAATCAATTCCCGAGTCAGCAAGGCCAATTCACGATGGGCTGTACAAAGCCATCGACATCCACCTGAAGGTATGCGTTTAAGCCATGTCCGCTAGGTTTATTTATTCTTTTAATTTTACTCCGTCATGCTTTTCGCTTCTCACTAGAGTTGCCTTGTCATGTTTCTGTTGAATTCTCACTCAGTTCCGATTTTGATCACAATATTCTTTGAATTTTCTCCTCTGTCCTATGTTCCACTTATTTCAACTTCCAATTTCTCCACATTAAATGTTCATGGTTTAAGGGCATTGTTCTAACATTATATTATTTTATTTATTTTAACAAAATTGCAGGCAGTTCTTCCAATATAAGAGGAAGAAAATGTGTGATCGTCTGCAAAGCACTTACCAAAGACAGAAATATAATATGGAAGTATATCTTTTGTATGTTTACATTTTAAATTTTCCAGATTGGGTATATGATTAAATGTATTCCAGCAGCTTCTATCATGCAAATATGATTGATAAACTTTTATCCCATTAATTTTCTCTGCAATCCATGACATGTTTTTGGTTTTCTAGCTACTGAGTATGGAACGCCAAATAACCCACTTAATCAAGTAGCTCCACATATTTCGAGAGTTTTTTTTTTTTTTTTTTAAATTTATTTTTGTTTAGTTGTATATTTCGATTTTGCTTCCCCTTAAGGCAAACATGAGATTGTCGACTCTCGCTAAATAACTGTCTTTCGATTTGTTTTTATTTTGTGTGTTCCTTGTATAAACAGCTACATATCAACATCAACAACATCAATGGTGTGTTGCCAATTCAATTTGCAAGGAAGCTTTTGAAAATGCTCGAGGAGAAGGAGAGGTCAGAAATTTCGTTTGGATTTTATACTTTGGAAAATGTTATATTCCTGTGCATATTTGATTTTTATGAGGTCCAATAGGTTGTGTATTAGTTGTGTGGGTTGATATAGGGGTGTTGGGTTGTTTGAGTTGATCCTAGCTGATTTTGATATTATTGATTTGTCAGTGTATTAGGTTGATTGAATTTGATTTTGAAGCTTGGGAAGAGAATTGGTTCTCAAGGTTTGATTTTCATGTGTTTGGTTTTTGGTTTAGTCAATTCTTCGCTGAAAAGTTGTATTCCGTTGAGCTACGATTTTTTGTACGTTGGCTTTATCGATTTAATCTTTGGTATGTGAACATCTTTCTAACCATTTCAATGTAAATATTATTAATCTTCTATCACAATGAGCAATTTTTTATATCATTCAAACATAATCTTTTTTACAATTTTTTATCTTGCAGCAACGTCGGATAACATTTTCTAGTTATCTATTCTAAAGTTGAGAGGAGGGATTTGACTGTAGCTTAGCTACAGTTAAATGATTGGCTCTCGGATTTGCTTTATTTAAATCAACACCATCGTATCCCTGGCTGGGTTGGAAGGTAATTATCAAAAGTTAGGAGAGTAATTTTGCCCGTAGGGTTTGGGATGGATTGGGTGGCTTAGCGCATAGAGAGGGAGATGGAGAGCGAAACGGTGTTGTCATTCGGTGAGGGTTTCGGGGATGGGAGGCCATGCCGCCTCTGATATAGAGATAGAGAGAGAGGGTGAGGGAGACAGAGCGACAGAGAGAGAGGGAGACTGAGGAGTAGGGATCACTGCTACTGACGACTCGGTCACTGTCTCAGATCTCCTCCTCAACGCCAACGCCCACCGAGTCCAGTGTCTCGCTCTCCAAGCCCAAAGAAGGCAGCTTCGCCGACATGATCGATAAAGCTTTGGAGAACGAGTTCAAAGAGAATGATTAGAACGAAGGTTAGTAGTGGATCCGATGTTCTTCCTCTTTCTATGCATTTTGGTTCAAATTAGGGTTTTAGGTCGAAACCCGAAACGAAGAGAAGAAAATATGAAGGATCTTTAGATTTTGTGTTTGGCTGAGAGGAAAAGATTACAAATTTGTTAAGAAAAGTTCGTTATGGTAAAATTTCATTCTTAAAAATCCATCAGATCATGCTTAAATTGTTAAATGCACACACTCTCTTCTTTCTCTCTCGCAGTGGAACTCTCTCCTCCCCATACTCAACCCTCTACTTCTTCTCTGATTCGTGGTTGGGTGCAGCGGCAGCACAGAGCTTTCGCCGGAGGAAGAAAGGATTTTGATACGAGACATTGCTTTGGCTGCTGAAGCCAATTTCAAAGAGGGCGATGTCGTCTACTTGCTCACCCGAAGGTTCCAACTTTTTTGCATTCTTTTGGGTTTGTTTATTTATTTATGAAATTTGATGACTAATTTTAAATAATGAGAAATTAGTTCTTCGCTGTGAAATGTTCATTTTTCAGTGTTTCTGTTAAAACAATGAAATCTTAATCTTCTATCAAATGGGTTGTAATTTCATATGTTTTAATGTAAACAGTTCACTGATTTTAGTTGTGGTGTGTTGGTCAGAATTGCAGGATTATTAAGGTTTTATTTTCTGATTTGGATTTTGAAATTGAGTAATTTTCTGCTCTGTGTCTTTTGAGTAGGCGTGGGATTTAGTTCATTGCCAGGGGTTGTAATGGGTGGATCGAACTTTTCAAATTTCAATTCCCCCTAAATCTTTTCATTCCAACCACATATTTGAGGATATGGTTTTAATTGTTTGTTTGAACTTTGAGCTTTTGACCATACCTGTTATTTGGATGCTAGGAAAATTTACATGCTATTTGAATACTAGGAAAATTCATGTAACTCAGACAAGATTGTTTTCATAATTTTCTGAGAAATGTGGAATTTTGTTTCAGATGGTATTGACTATTTTTCAAAATCCTATAATCTGATCAAAGTTCTGAATTTCTATTAAGACCAATATTAGTTGTGAGATTAAGAAATTTCGTAAATCGTTTTTGGTTCAAGAAATTCCAATATTCTTTGTTGGTCCTTGAGATTTTCATTAGTATTGAGTATAGTGGTTTTTGGGGCAGGTTTGCATGGAAGATGAGAAGACGATCTCTGTATCCTTTGAAACACGTATTTTGGAAAGCTTGATGATTCGCCTATGTTTCATGAACAGGTTTGTTCTTTTCTAAATGTTTATATTTAGTCTATTTACACTCAAGTGTTAAGTCATGCTAATACAGATGTGTGCAGGTTATCTGTTTTCACCATAATTTTCATATAATTTATGAAGAATGTATAGGAACGACAATGATTGAGTGGATTATGTGAGTCTCACCATATAAACAGTGGATTCCACCTGATTGTTCCCCCTCTTAAAACAAAGTTTGGGTGGATTAACTAAGATATATGTAGTTAATCTTTTTGTTTGTCTATGAGTCATGGTTTTGAACTTTTGATGGTTGGTGACTAATAATGTAACATATAATTAATGGGACAGGCAGTGGCACATATTTGGGCAGGGCTTGGAGAGCCGGACCCCAGATGGTGTATGCCTACACCAGCATGACTAAGGTGGTTAACCCTGCCGGCTGGAGCGACGATAACCACGCCGAACGTGACAAGTAAGCAGATTATGTCGATTAAAACATTATTAAGCGTTTTCATATGATTAGTTTTGAGAGTTAATAATAAAATTTGAAATTGCAGAAATGTGGCCTACAAAGAGTACAAGTGCATGGGTCCAGGTTCATGTACATAAAATAAGAGAAATTTGAGCAAAGAACTGACTGACAAATAAGTTAAGCCTTTCACTAGCCTTGGATGTATTCAGGGTATGGTTGCTACCTCCTCCATATCCAAGTATGTCTATATGTATATAGACTAGGTACATGAAGATGTTTCATTTAGAAAATCGTGCAAGTCATCAAGAGAAAATCGTGCTTCTCTTTTGGAGGAACTTCCACTTTCACTGGGTCCTGCTTCATTACTGTATTGTTCACATGTTCGCATAATCATGTCTTATTGTACAGTTTTTTATTCCTCAAAATCACAATTGGTAATATCCTCACACAAAGAAATGCTTCTGTTGGAATATTGTTTCATCGTTCGGTTGAGCTCTTCTTCTGTATCTTGTTCATACACTGGAAGGACTCCGCACTTCTTCACCTTCGAGCATGTCTTGCTTCCGACAGGATCTGTTGTTTCGAAACGAAACCGAATATGATCCCAACATTTCTCCTCCCTACTATTGGTCTGACGTTGGAAAAGGAATTTACGAGATAGAAATACCAACCAAAGGTGATCTGACGCTACCTCGTTAATCCGAACTCCAAAGCCACACAAACTATGACTGGCTTGAAAGGTGTTTGAACCAAAACTCAGACAACATGAAATTTCTTGCCAATCATGTCCTGAAAGCCATTTTAGTCCATGATTGGGAGCTGAAATATTTTGAGCAGGTGCAAATAAAGCGCATAAAGCAAACCCCACCACCTTGCTATTGCATGAGTGCGAAGGTAGCTTCTCAATCACCGAATCTCCCATGCTTTGGTTATCGAACCACTCAGGAATTTCACTTCCAGGAATTACCATACTGGAATATTCCTCAATATGAGGGGTTTCCGGCAACTGATACTCCTGCACAAAGGAACAACGTAAATAAATGTACACAACTAAGGAGACGATGGAGGATAGGAGAAAGAGAAATACCTGAATGAATCTCTTTAGCATTAAATACATTATGGCATTGCAACCTTGATTTCCAGCCAAACTGAAGCAATTGACAGATCGCAACGAAAAACTCCTTAAACTGCAAGCAAGGGGTAAATATGGGAGCATTTTCAAGGAAGTACAATTCTCCGTGTTTATACATAAATGGCTGCTTAATGGAATGGCAGGCAGTTGTTGAAGCCCTTTGCAATTTCGCAAACTAAAGTACCCCAGCTTAAAAAGCCCACTGATGCTTGTAGGAAGGCTAATAAAATGGTTTCCGCTAAGATTTAGAATTCCTAACGAGGACAAGAAACCAATATCATCGGGAATTGCTCCTTCACAAAGATTGCAGTTCTCCAGATTTAAATCCCTCAGCTTAGAAAGCCCACCGATGCTTGCAGGAAGGCTAACCATATGGTTTCCGCTAAGATTTAGTGTTTCTAAAGAGGACAAGAAACCAATATCATCAGGAATTGCTCCTTCACAAAGATTGCAGTCCTCCAGATTTAATTCCTTCAGAAAGCATAAATCTTTCAACGAAGCTAAGACCACACTCGCAGGGTGAGAAATCTTTGCTGGAAATTCGCTAAAAGTGAAGAAGGAACGCCATGATCTAGCTGGTGGTGCATTGCATCCAAGAAACTTTGATGGTACCAAATTTTTCACTGAAACCAGGGAGGATTCCGTCTCTCTCAAAGCAATTCCACTCAAATCAATCTCCTCCAAACTCCTACGTATAACTGAGGAAGGTATTTCCTGAACGCCAGTTCCGCTTAAAGAAAGCTTAGAGAAATTTTTCATTTCTCCAACAAATTCTGGAATCTTTTTCAGTTTTGAGCAGCCAGAAATATCAAATACTTCAAGAAATTCCATTTCTACCTTGTTTGGGAGACTCTTCATACTTTTACAGTCTTTAAGATTTAAAAGTCTAAGCCTCTTGAGAAACGCAATGGATGAATGAATCTTAACTAAATTTGTACAACCTTCAAGAACCAGCTTCTCGAGATTTTGAATACCTGTGAAATCTGGGGTCCTTGTCAAGTTGTGGGAGTAACTAAGATCGATAGACTTCAACTTGCCCAAGCGCTGTACAAAATAGAAATGTTACAACAGTTCATGTTCAGAAACTACAATTATTGTAATTGACAAAGTAAAAATCAATTGTCCAATCATCTACCTTTATTCCATCCCAAAGGTGATCAATTTTGCTATGCTGCAGACTAAGTATTGTAAGTTCATCCGGTTGAAAAGTTGGTGGTAGACATTTGGAGGGATACCAGCTCCATTTGAGAACTCTTAAAGCATTCGGAAGATACTTGGGGCCCTTAGAAAGGCTCACATTATGAATGTCGAGCAACCTCAGCTTACACATCTTAGTGAATGCTTCAGGATTCCAGTGTGCCCCTTCAAATTTACTCAAGCGTAAGACTATGGCTTCAATTGCCTCTGATCCCTGATAAATAAGATTAAAGGAATAGTTAATTTCGTAATCAAGTCTCTTATCATGTTAAATAATATTATAGTGTCCTATCCAAGCTTTGGTATTTTCATGTTCACACAACTTCTTACCGTATTCTTTGCGAGCACGTGCAGGATATCATTATGAAGCCACAACCGACTACGACCACCTGGCTCCTCATAAGACTCTTGTCGAACAATCTCCCATGCCATTTCTTGAATCAAATCATGCATAGACACAGACTCGTATGAAATATACTCGTATGAAATATACAAGAGAGATTTCTCAATAAGAACATCGATCACAATGCGAGCGCCAACAAAGCCACCGTTTTCTAGTCCTTCAATTACTCGCTCCTTTTCACAAGACTTATGGAAACATGCAATGTCAAGGAAGATTCTCTTCTCAAACTCATCTAGTCCATCATAACTTATTTTCAATGTTTCAAAAATTTTCCCATCAGGAGCTTGCTTCAGTTTATCTAGTGCACTCTTCCATTCAGCTCGACCTCTTTTGTACAAAGAAGACCCTAAAGTTTTAAGAGCTAATGGAAGACCACTTGCATAACTGATGAAACATTTAGACAATTTTAAAAAATCTTCTTCCAACTCATCATCTTTAAAGGCTTTCCAACTAAAGAGAAAAAGAGCTTCGTCTGGGGTTAATGGCTTAACCTCATATGCCTTCTCTATACCATGTTCGACTAACAAACGTTCATTTCTAGTTGTAATGACAATTCTACTCCCAAAACCAAACCACTCTTTTTGTTTGACCAACTTTTCCAGTTGGTCTGATTGATCCACATCATCGAGTATGAGAAGAACCTTTTTAAATAAACACCTACTTATCCTAGTGATTCCACTATAAGCATTCCAAACTTGTATGTCATTGTCCCCTAAGATATCATAAAGAAGCTGCTTTTGTAGATGAACTATACCATCCTTAGAGCACACCTCTCTAACATTAGCAAGAAAGCTGCTACGTTCAAAATCATGAGAAATTCTATCGTAAACTAATCTAGCTAGGGTTGTCTTACCCACTCCACCCATCCCCCATATCCCTATAAAGCGAACATCATTTGCATCTGTATCTAAAAGCAAATCTATTTCCTTCAGTTTAGAATCGATTCCGACAAACCTCTCTGAGGAATCTAACATTGAAAACGTAGGATGCACTTCCTGCCATAGTGTATTGACGATTCGTTGGATAAGCTCTGTATCATACCTACAAGAAGAACAAACAACGTAAATAAAAAATCATCACATCCTAAAATAAAGTGCATGGTAACGTTGAAACTCAATAGTAAAAAATTGTTCTTCAGCTATAAACGTCAGTTGTTGCCTCATGCTTACCTACAATCCTTTGAATTCCACCCAGCGAGATTAGCCACCCTTTCTAACGACTTTCTCCACTCATTTACCTCCTCCATGTGTTCTTGATAATTTACTTCATGCTCTGCAAAGGCTTCGCCAAAACTCCCTCGTTGATGGCGTACATCAGAAGGTTCCACGCCATAAAAAATGGGAAAAATTCTCTTTTTCTCTTCCTTGCAACGAACAATATGAGTAAGTTCTCGCAAACACCAACTTGAAGAAGCAAAGTTTGTCGAAAGAACTATGATTGCAGACCTTGATTGCTCAATTGCCTTCAGGAGCTCTGGATTGATATCTGTCCCTCGTTCAAGTTCTGGTTCGTCCCTGAAAGTCTTGATTCCTCGCGCCTCCAACTGTTTGTATAAATGATCTGTAAAACCCCGGCGGGTGTCTTCACCTCTGAAACTCAGAAACACATGGTATTTCCATGGAAAAACTGCAGGAGCAGAAGCCCGGGCCATTTGGCTGCTCAACGCAAATCTGAAGTGTTCCAAGCAATCAGCTCTAAGCACAGAAGTGACACTTCGACACGCCGACGATACGCCCCTGACACGGGTTGGACAAGGTCAAGACACCTGTCAATGGGTTGGATACACCTCCAGCACGGGTTGAATTATTTTGAGGAAGTTTTTGATATCTTGAAATCTTTGGGGCAATTTGGAAATATAAAAACTGAAGCCTAAAACTTCAGTCTCTAATCTATTCTGCGCCTCCCTCCTCTTCTCCCACACTTTCGAAGCGGTGGATGATCTCAAATGGTTGGCTGGTGGAGCGAGGAAGGAAAGGAAGAGAGGTCGAGGTGAGAGCAGCAGAGAGAGAAAGCAATGTGAAGGATAGAGAACAAAGAGGATCTGATGGAGATAAGGGAAGAGGCGAGAGTGGTGATGGAGTTGGTGGGAAGGGTATCATATATAATAAAATAAAAAAAGTAGAAGAGAAGACGACGAAAGTACTTGGAATGTCATCTTTCAGAGTGATGGAGTTGGTGGGAAAGGAATCATATATAATTTCCAAGAAAGACTTGAGGATGTTTCGTTCTGGCATTCTTTGATTTGTTTAATTGAAGGACTGATGACACGGTGCGTTTGTTTAATTTTGTGTTAGTGTCCCTTACTATTGACAACTTCTTTTTCGTTTTTTCTTTAAATGAAGAAACACCAAACCAATCAAGGTAGAGAGAGGCTAGTTTGTGGGTATATTGCATTAACTCTTAGGTTGGTTGAAATTATAATCTTATACAACATTTTTAAAACAATTTGAAAATCATAGCAATTGGCCTTTAACTTGAACCGGTTCATCAACTAAAAATTCATGATCATTGGTCTCTTAACACATCAAAAAGTTAATTATGGTCTTTTTTTGTCAACTTCGGGATTCCGTTAAGATGAGTCATGTTGGAAGAACTATTGATACAATTGGGTAAAAATTAAGGGATCATTTCTCCAATTGAATTAAAATTGATGGACGATTAATTTCTACAATTTTTCTCATTATTTTTTCATATGCTCCCTTAATTCAACCTCTAAAACTCAGAAACACATGGTATTCCCATGGAAAAATTGCAGGAAGCCATTTGGCTGCTCAACGCAAATCGACAGTGGTGCGAACAATCAGCTCTAAGCACAGAAGACTAGAAGTTATTTGCCAAATATTTCAAACTCCAAACTGATTACTATTGAATAACTAAAATGATGAAAGGAAAAGATGTTTCGATGTTAATTGATGAAAAGAACATGATAAGTGGAAAAGAAGACGACGAAAGTGGTTGGAGCGTCACCTTTGAAAGTGATGGAGTTGGTGGAAAAGGCATCATATATAATTTCCAGGAAAGACTGACGATGTTGCGTTCTACCATTCTTTGTTTTGTTTAATTGAATAGTTTGATTTTAACAGTTTTTTTTTAAATAATCTAACGTGTTTCTTCAAATGAATTTCCCTCTATCATACCACCTGGGAACTACTTTGTCTCTTCCTATCTATTTGGTTTACACTACTGCAGTCGTCAGTTGCCACCAAATTGTTTCTTTCTATATTGTAAGAGCATGTTCAAGGAAATAAGGTATAAATTAAGACAAAATTTGACATTGACAACCTTAGCTAACATTAATTTGTATATCCATTTATTCTTAGATTTAGAAGTGGTACTTAAATTTTCACTCAAATTTGGTACTTAAATTTTCACTCAAATTTAGATTAAGTCCCTAAACAAAAGTTCGTTAATTGAACAATGTGGTTGCTGTCGGTGGAGGTTTTCTGGAATCCTCGAGGATCCTTCCTCTCTCGATACGTTGTGATTGGCTCATATAATGCTGTGCTGGCAACAATTGAACAATGTGGTTGCTGTTGGTGGAGAGGTCACCTTTCGGTGGGATGCATTGAAAGGTGCAGACCATATAGAGTGTGACAAAAGAAAAGCAAAAGTAGAACAGCAGAGAGAGAAAGCAATGTGAAGGATAGAGAACAAAGAGGATCTGATGGAGATAAGGGAGGGGCGAGAGTGGTGATGGAGTTGGTGGGAAGGGTATCATATATAATAAAATAAAAAAAGTAGAACAGAAGACGACGAAAGTACTTGGAGTGTAATCTTTCAAAGTGATGGAGTTGGTGGGAAAGGTATCATATGTAATTTCCAAGAAAGACTTGAGGATGCTTCGTTCTGGCATTCTTTGATTTGTTTAATTGAATGATTGATGACACGGTGCGTTTGTTTAATTTCGTGTTAGTGTCCTTTACTATTGACAACTTCTATTCGTTTTTCTTTAAATGAAGAAACACGAAACCAATCAAGGTAGAGAGATGCTAGCTTCGTGTAAGAGGCAAGGAAATTTCAAATTGGTTTAAGGTGATTTAGGTGAGAAACTGAAATAAGAGAGAAATATGTTTTTGTTGACATTTGTTAATCAGATTGGACTTGATTCAACGCATCAAAGCACATGCTTGCCACTTTTTTTTTCTTCTTTAATTTATGGGCCCCTCACCACTCTTCTTCTTTCTTTTCTGTCAAAGTTGCAGATCTCACTGTTTATCACCCTCGTCTAGCATACACCCATTCATCCTTTGAATGTAAAGCTCAAATCTCTCCGAGCCTCTCTCCACCACAGACATCACACCCCGTCCACCAACATTTATTTATTATTTTAAATTATGTTTTGTTTTGTTTCAAAATTTTTGTAATTAGTTAAATACGATTTTAAAAGTCTTCTTTTAAAAAGATAAATATATTATTAACATTTTTATTAAATGGTTGGTGGAGCAATCAGACACAATGAAAATATCAGTACTCTTCTTTTTTCTTCTTTAGTTTATGGGTATATTGCATTACCTCTCAGGTTGGCTGAAATTACAATCTTATACAACATTTTTAAAACAATGAGAAAATCATAGCAATAGACCTTTAACTTGAACCGGTCCATCAACTAAAAATTCATGATCATTGGTTCATTAACACATCAAAAAGTTAATTATGGTCTTTTTTTGTCAACTTCGGGATTCCGTTAAGATGAGTCATGCTGGAAGAACTATTGATACAATTGGGTAATTTATTAAAGGACCATTTCTCCAATTTAATTAAAATTGAGGGACGATTAATTTCTACAATTTTTCTCATTATTTTTTCATATTCTCCCTTAATTCAACCTCTGAAACTCAGAAACACATGGTATTCCCATGGAAAAATTGCAGGAAGCCATTTGGCTGCTCAACGCAAATCGGCAGTGGTTCGAGCAATCAGCTCTAAGCATAGAAGACTGGAAGTTATTTGCCAAATATTTCAAACTCCAAACTGATGGATTACTATTGAATAACTAAAATGATGAAAGGAAAAGATGACTGGATGTTAATTGATGAAAAGAATATGATAAGTGGAAAAGAAGACGACGAAAGTAGTTGGAGGTCATCTTTGAAAGTGATGGAGTTGGTGGAAAGGGCATCATATATAATTTCCAGGAAAGACTGACGATGTTACGTTCTACCATTCTTTGCTTTGTTTAATTGAATAGTTTGATTTTAATAGTTTTTTTTTTAGATAATCTAACGCGTTTCTTCAAATGAATTTCCCTCTATCATGCCACTTGGGAACTACTTTGTCTCTTCCTATCTATTCAGTTTACACTACCGCAGCAGTCAGTTGCCACCAAATTGTTTCTTTCTATATTGTAAGAGCATGTTCAAGGAAATGAGGTATAAATTAAGACAAAATTTGACATTGACAACCTTAGCTGACATTAATTTGTATATCCATTTATTCTTAGATTTAGAAATGGTACTTAAATTTTCACTCAAATTTAGATTAAGTCCCTAAACAAAAAGTTCGTTAATTGAGGTCTTAGAATTTAGCAAATGTGCACTATTGGACTTTCCGTGAGATTTTCGTCAATTGTACATAAAATAACATAGAATGCACAATTAGTCCCTAAACTTTGACCCTAATTTAGATTTGGTCCTCAATAAACATTTAGAATTGATACGTGAGATCTACTTGTATGCCATATCATCAGCTTAACAAAAGAAATTTACAAAAATTATTGGAGAAACCAATAGTGCACACTTTGTTAAATTTATTGAACTGACGACAGTACCTCACAAACTAGAACCAAACCTTCATTGTTATATTATGAGTTTGCATTATTATTTTTTATATATGTAATATTGATTATATTTTAATTGCCATATCTTGTTTTATTTTTTAAGATATGTTGTGTCGCTGTATTATCCGGTTGTGAAAATTCTGGAGATTTTCTAATAACATCAGTTCATCATATATCGTGTGGTCAGAAATTATTGTAATTTTTTTATTTAAAATTGAATATAAATAGTACTTGATAAAAACTGATCACACGATGAATGGATGTAATTGAAGGTTTTCCCTGGAATCTTCACACAGTTGATCCATCCTCTCTAGATACGTTGTGATTGGCTCATATAATGTTGAGCTGGCAACAATTGAACAGTGTTGTTGCTGTTGGTGGAGAGGTCACCTTGTTGGGACGCATTGAAAGATGCAGACCATGTGGAGTGTTACAAAAGAAAAGCAGGAGTAGGCTTGTGTTTTTTTTTTTACATTGGGAGCATTTGGCTAGAGAAGCTAGTGGATGAAAGGTGATTGATGCCTTTGGCATTTTTTTAATGCAAGGAAATGCTTGTATTGGGGTATGCTAGTCGATTGAGAGGGCAGGCATCAGGGAAGCATCGAAAGTACTTGGAGTGTCATCTTTCAAGGTGGGAAAGGAATCATATATAATTTCCAGGAAAGACTTGAGGATGTTTTGTTCTCGCATTCTTTGCTTTGTTTAATTGAATGACTGATGATACGGTGAGTTTGTTTAATTTTGTGTTAGTGTCCTTTACTATTGACAACTTTTTTTTCGTTTTTCTTTAAACGAAGAAATACCGAACCAATCAAGGTAGAGAGAAGCTGGCTTCGTGTAAGAGGCGAGGAAATTTCAAAGTGGTTTAAGGTGTTTTAGTTGAGAAATTGAAATAAGAGAGAAAGATGTTTTTGTTGACACTTGTTAATCAGATTGGACTTTGATTCAACGCATCAAAGCACATGCATGCCAATTCTTTTTTCTTCTTTAATTTATGGGCCCCTCACCACTCTTCTTCTTTCTTTTCTGTCAAAGTCGTAGATCTCATTGTTTATCACCTTCGTCTAGCACACACCTATTCCTTCTGTGATTGTAGCTCAAATCTTTCCTAGCCTCTCTCCACCACAGATATCACAACCTACCCACCAATATTTATTTATTATTTTAAATTAAGTTTTGTAGATAATCATAGACCTCATAGTAAGTAGATCAAGATAAAATTAGTTTTAGGATTTCAAACATTCTTCTCTATTATTCTTCTCCCTTTGGAGGTGGTAATGTATATACAATCATATCTCTTGTAGTAATAATTAATGACTCCTAATCAAATTAGGAAATACAATAATAATGGATCAGTTCTTCTTGTCCATTATTTCCTCTAAGAAATTAATTACTGAGTTATTGACAACTTCTTTTTCGTTTTTCTTTAAACGAAAAAACTCCAAACCAATCAACATACAAAAGGAGGTAGAGAGAGGCTAGCTTTGTGTAAGAGACGAGGAAATTTCTAGTTGGTTTAGGTGTGTAAGGTGAAAGTGAAATGGGAGAGAAAGAGGCTATTTTTTTTATTTTGTTGGGCTTGGACAAGATTCAACACATTAAAGCACAGCTGCCAATTGTTTTTTCTTCTTTAATTTATGTGTGGTTTAGGCGGATTAGGTGAACAGAAAGAGGTGAGAAATAGGGTTTTTTCAACTTTTGTCAGTCACTTTGGACAGATCAACGCATAAAAAGCACATGCTACCAATTATTTTTTCTTCTTTAGCTTATGGGTTATTGCATTACCCCTCACTTTTGCTTGTAATTACAATCTCATATATCTTCAAAACATTGATAAAATTGTAGCAATGAACTTTCAACTTTAACCCAATTAAAATAAAAGTTTATCAACTAAAAATTTATGATCATCGGTCCCTTAATTTATTAAAACGTGAGTTATAATCTTTTTTATCAATTTTGTTAGAATTCCGTCAAGAAGAATTATACTGACAAAACTATTGATACAATTGAATAACAGTTGAATGATCATTTCTATAACTTTACGGGTTTATGAATCCGAAAGATGTTTTTCTTAGAAATTGCTATTTTAATTATTTTATATGATTTTTGTATATTATTTAAATGTTTTCTAATTAGATATTTTAAATATTTTATATTATTTTATTTTGTGGCCCGTGGGGCCCACACCCCACTTCCCTTCCTTCCCCGTGTCAATTCTCTTCCTAATCTCTCGGGAACTCTCTGGAACACTCTCCCTCGTCTCTCTCCCTCCTCCCTCTGCAACAACAAGAACGACCCGAGGCACCACCTTGCCTCGCCCCTCCGGCGAGCTTCACCGCCACTAACAACCATCACTTTCTACCCTGCACCTCCCCGTTCCCCTCGTCCCGCTCTCTCTCCTCTTTGCTCGAGGCACAGCTGCAGCAATGGCAGCCACCATCGCCATACATCCCGGCGAGATTTCACGGTGCTCCGACCTGGGTAAGCCTCGGGATGCTTAAGGTTCTTTCATTTTCGTCATGGTGGTTTAATTATAACCTAGAGTTTGCGATTTAAACGTCGGATTTGCACAGGAACAGAGAAAGCAAGAAACTCAGTTTTCCGGCGAGGGTCCGACGGCTTTTGAGCCGTTTAAAGGCCACTTCCCGGCCACGGCAGGGCCAAATATTGGTATATTTCTAATCCTCTCGTCCGTAACTTCAATTTGGTATATAATATGTCTAGGTTTTGTTAGGTTTTGGGGTTGATCGGAGCTCGGGGAGCTCCAGCGTTCTTCTTCGTGGAGTCCTTTTAACTAAATTTACAACGGACCCGTTAGTGATAGAATGGTGAAATTCACTTACCTTGCGATCCTTGACATCTGCCTAACAATGTGAATGGCACACGGACTACAAATAATGGAAAGCTTTCCAAATTGAAATTCATGCCCCTTTCAATGAGTGCCTAGGAACTAATGGCATTGAACAAGACATGGAGATAAGCATATTAATTTTCAATTCCTTGAATCAATGTTGTATGACCAGGATGGATGGAAGGTTTGGCATCTCGATTGAACTTTATGGGCATGTTTGATACGCATGATCGATTTGGCTCGGACTAATTGTAGGGAATGGTTTGAATTGGTTTGGCTTGGACTGATTGTAGGGAACGGTTTGAATTGGTTTGGCTCGGACTAATTGTAGGGAATTGTTTGATACGCAAGTTCGATTTTGATAGCAGATGAAAGCCAGACGTTGAAGCTTCGATTTTGACAACAGATGAAAGCCAGACGTTGAAGCTAAAAGCGAGATTCATCATTGTTGTGAGGTTTCCTTTCCTTGTGTCTCAAGTAGACCTGGCATTTTGGACCCAACCCGTTAATATTAGTATTTGGGTAGATGCTTAACGGGTCGGGTCGTTAACGGGTCAACCTGTTAAATAATGGGTCACTTTGGATCACTTTGGGTCAACCTGTTAGCACCCTTATAAATTATATTGGAATGCTCCCTCGAGCCGCTTTGGGTCTTCCGCTCCCTCCACCATCTCTCCCAAGAAATCTCCTCCCTCAAGCCGCTCCAGTTCCTCCTGCGCCGCACCTCTCACTCCGTGTTCCGCAGGTCAACCCTCCTCTCCATCCTCCTTAGTGCAGAAATTAGGAGAGACATAAGCCACCTCCTGCAAGTGTTTAGGTTCATGGTAACAAACTCTTTCTTCAAAGATTGTCCTGACAAACCTTTGAAATTTCCTACTGTAGCAATTAAAGAAAGCGCGGGTGAGGAAGAGGTGGCTGAAAAGTTCTCCTCACTTGCAGAGAAAGATGCTTTAAAGGGAAGTGATAAATCCATGGTTGGAAGAGAAACATGCTTTGAAATTTCTCACTTGCAGAGAGGAGCTTGAGAGTCTCCAGGAAGAGTTCTAGAACCAGACGAAGGAGAAATCCAAGTCGCAGCTCCTTGTCGTCAGCACCCTTTTATACATCATTGCAGTTAATGTGTAATTGTATAGGAATGCAAAAAAAAAAAAAAAAAAAAAAAAAAAAAATTGAAACTGGTGTTAACTGGTGATCTATTAGATTAACGGGTTGAGTTTGGATGACCCGTTAGCTTAACGGGTCGGGTTTGGATGATCTGTTAGCTTAACAGGTCGGATTGAACCCAACCCAAACCTGATAAACCCAACCCGTTTACAGGTCTAGTGTCAAGTTAGGGGTTTGGATTGGTTCTATTGAGGCCCGTCATTTTGATCCTCATCCGTTTGGTTCAAGCTGAGATTGGTGTTACATGTGCAGAACAGTTTATAATAGCATTATCTCCTGCAACCCTTCGCAACTGCAAGATAATTCACAATCAAAGATATCCGAGTATGCAACAAATTCAAATCAATCACATTTGGGGATCCCATCATTTGGTCGGTTCGAATTGTAACGAGGGCTTCTTCCCCCATTGTGAAAGCACTAACTTTATCTGTCAAATCGAAACAACGAAAATTGTGCTCATTTCGGGTAGCTTCGGTTTCGGGTCGAAAATTAGTTGATTTGATACAAGCGGTACCAAGTGAACCATGCAATGAGTATGTGCTTCAACAAGGAAACCTTGGACACCCAATTCATTGCCTAACTGATAATCCAAAACAATCTAACGTTAATTACTGGCCAGAGGCGAGCTACTAGAGAAATATCGTCTTCTGATTTTTTCGGTGTTGTTTTCACCCTTTACATCTCCATAAACCTCTGAAACTCTCACACGTTTCGTAGCTGAAATCATTGACTTACCCCATAAACACTTGTGAAATCCCGAGACTCATTTATTTCATGACAAAGAAAGACTTCTTTCACATCCACAAAAAACCATGAGGCAAATATGAAATAGCAAATATAAACCCCACTAATCTTTTCATTTCTTTTTTTTCTCACAAACCCAAATAATCTCAATCAACTCAAATCTGAAAACTAGAATTAGAGAGAAAACCCAAATAATATACAGAAACTTCTCCTACAAATGCTGATAGCGATAATAAATCATATTTGTTCTTTGGCATTGCAACACCAATATCAAATAGTAAAGACTTTGAAATGCAGCAATGGTGCACCCAAGGTATTTCACTTGACCAAAGCCAAAACAGTCAGATTATATGGAATTTGAAAAGCACAAGTGTTTCGTCTACAGTACGAAATTATCCGAAATTAAACCGTATAGTATTACACTACTAAAAGAGTAAACTCAAATGCAATGAAAGCAATGCATCCAAGCATTAAATTTACACGATCAACTACTTCAAAAATAATTTAGGAAAGAGTTATGGCAATTTTCTTCTCATCAAGTAAACTTGGTAATTCATATATGCAAAGAGAATCGTACAACACTAAGAATTTCGTAAATTGCTAGCATCCTGCAACTACAGAGCAATACGCCAATACTCTTTTACAAAACACTCAATCTTACAACTTAGAAACCGAGAGATGCATTGCATTCTAATCAACATGCATGGGTTCCGAGCCCCCAGCCGCATCTCCCATTCCATTTTTCTGCTCTTTCTCCTCCATTAGCAGAGCAAAATACACCCGGAAATTACACCACTTTCTTAAAGCGTTCTAATTCTACTGCTTAATGCACACAACATATCGGGAATTCAATATAGCTCACATACCACGTGCAGGAGCAGAGCAAACTGCTTCTTCCTCAGCTCCAGCGTCCGCGAACTCGCGGTGTTCTCCGCATCCAATGCCGCAATCTCTTTCGCCAACTCTGATATGATCTTGAGCGTCTCAGACCGCGGCGGGTGCGTAGCAATCAATTTCCTGATCACCTCACACTCCTCCTTGTGCCTTCTTTCGACCTTACTCTCCTCGAGCTGCTCCTTGAGCGTCTCAATGTCGGCCTTCGCCAGCACATTCTGCCGGTTAATCTCCTCCCTCAGCTCGTCGAAGTTGTGCTTCTCCCGGAGATTCGCATCGACAACGGCCTTGCTCTTGAGGAGCGGAATCTCGAACGCGTTGAGCTCCTGGAGGAAAGCTTTGGCGAGCTTGTCGCAGTCGGCGAAGTTGTCTTCGTTCTTGTCGAGCTCGACGAACAGGGACGTGAACTTCTTCTGGAGCTTCTTCAACGGCGGTTCGCCTCTCGTGGTTGTGGTCCGAGTGAGAAGTCTGTGTTTGATGATGAAGTCGTCTTCGAGCGGCCCGAACGCGTAGTTCGCCGCCACGGCCTCTCCTCGCCCTGAAGCTTTTCTTCCTTTCGCCAGCATCGGAAACTGACCGGAGATTATGAGTCCGGCAGAAATTCGATTTGGAATTTGACCAACCCTAATCTAATCTGCAGAAAGAAAATCCCCGTTCACGGCGGAGGATTCAGCTTCTGTTTGTGGAATCCAACGGCAGACGACGATGGGTGTTGTTTTTGCTCGAGGTTAATTGGACGGTCGGATGTGCTTCACGGTTAAACTGCTACACCGGATCCAGGATGTTTATTTTGTCAATATGGCTTTTATATTTGGGAGTAGGATTCTCTCCTTTCTTAATCTCTCTCTTTAATTTTCTCCTATTTAAACGGTTACGGTTTAATCATGTCAACATCTTACATTAATTTTTTTATTGAGACAATAAAACAAAAAGCAATATGTGAGAAGAGGGGAGAAAAGGGGATGTGAATAGGAGATGAGAGAATCCTACTCCTTATATTTGGGACATAAACCAAATTTCTCACAACAAAAATAGAAGGGTTTTTTTATTTTTATTATTTTTTGAACAAACGATATTATCAGTACTAAGGGAAAGGAGGTGAGCTTAGCCTCTCAATAAGCTAGTAATAATGTGGTTCAAACTCGCATTTGGTGAGAATCGAACCTAAAACCTCTCATTTAGGAATACCACTAGACCGTAGTACCAAGTGATAAAAAATAGAAGAAATCAGGCCATCTCTAATCGAAAAGACTAAATATAACCCTGTCCACAATCATAACCGAATGAGCTAAACATAGCCCCTTAATGATTTATTAGTTTTAATTTTATACTATTAATTTATTAGTTAATTTAATTAAACTATCGTTTGATGTTTTCAAATTTAGTCTCTGAATTTGAATCAATTATCGTAATTGAGGAGTTGGACCCTAAAAAAAGAATAAGAGGGGACTACATTTGGCTAACCTAGGAATAAGATCCTCTTCAGATCTCTTCCAGCCGAATCTGGAGGATCCTTCAATCTTAGCCATTCAAAAGAAAATCAAACGGTTAGGAAAACGTTTTGGCACCATTGGAATAGGAAGAAGCTGCAATGCCAGAAATGGCCACCGAATCCTCTGTATCGAATCCTCGGCGATGGTGTTAACGGAAGGAGGGGTTGAAAAGGTGCAGATGTGGAGGAGAAGACGGCACCGCCGTTGGAATTGTAGTTTAGATCGATGGCTTCACGGTCCTGTTCGGGGCAAGTTAAGATCGTGGCTTTGCGGACCTATTTGAGGAAGAAGATGAAGCTGCTGATGGCTTTGCTATTGTGATGGAGGTAAGGCTTGCTACCAAAATTTGGGATCCGAAGGATCTGGCTAGGAGGGATCGGAGAGGATCATTTCTCGCTAACCCGATACCCTTTTGGCCAAATAATGATCTAGTTGGCTCAATTGAATTTTAGTCTAACCATCGATTGAAGATGAGTTTTAGGCAAATCAGGTCATTTTTTGGTTTTTGAACCTTTATCCCTTTACATTGGAGATGGCCTTAGCCTCATTTGGCAGCTCGAATTGTATTGATTATTTCAGTCAGATAGGATAAACAGTCATCGAATAGTACTAACTAAATTAGTCGAACGTTTGGTGTAATATCATAATAATGACCGTATTATTTATAAAGCATTTAGTACTTGTTAATAATACTTTTCAATTGATAATTTAAAAAAAAAAAATCACATATGTGCTTTTCAAAATAAAATTTACAATCCAACAATAAAAATCCTCAATTCCTTGTTAATGGAAGCTTCAAGCAGACTCTCCTAGCTTTTGTTGCAATATCATCTTCGAATCAATTAATACATTCTCTCAAATTGAATCAACAGCTTCTCATCTCCAAACTCAATTAATGTCTTCTCTCAAATTGAATCAATAGCTTCCCATTTTCGAACTCAATATTGTCCTATTTCAAAGTGCTGGAACTCAAAACCTCCATGAAAGATGACGACAATGAAGCATAGATTCCATGCTTTATAGGGGAATCAATTGTCATGCTTGACCCTGAAATTTCCTCCAAACACCAGGGTATGCACGTGCTGGCAGACACTCACGGGTGACGAAGTCATATTAACATGCATGTACGTTATGAGAAAGAACGAATGAAAAATAAAACATGAAAACTTAACTATAATGAATATGCAAATGTGGCAATGTGTTCAGAGCATACAACAAATCAAGAATACTGTAGAAGGAATATTATGAAAAGGTACAAACAAATGAATGGGTCCTACATTGAGAGGACTTGAAGATACTGAAGCGGGAGTGCCTTGACGCCAGGATTGTACTCCTCGATTCTAAGTCCTGAAGGGGCGCAAAACAAAGCATGAGTGGACCAAATTTATATAAATGTGTGTGTGTATAATACTGAAACAATTACTCTTCAACGTACTAACCCCTAGTTTTAGAAAACTCATATAGCATAATAAGTAATAAGTTTTCCGAAAACCCTAGCATACCATAAAACCTTCATAAAACATATATTATGTATAATATGCTTAGTAGTGGTATCACAATCGCTCGAAGGCACTACATCGCCCTCCTGAAGGCCCTACATCGCCCGCCCAAAGGCACATAGTATGAATATCCACTAAGTAAGCACAAAAAATCATGAACATAATCTTTCCAAAATATATCTCAATCGGAGCTCAATAGCTCAAACATCATATCATAAATCATATTCATAAATATCTCAGTAATGTAAATTTGATAAAGCATGATATTTCTTAGAGCGTAAATCCGACAACTAAATAAAATTTTATAAAACGTAGTCATAAAATTATGCTTTTCATGTATGCATTTCTAATAATTAAATCATGCATTTTGGAAGGGGTCCACTTACAGATACTCTGTCATCAAAGAGCCGTTCGAACAAGGGATGATGAAATCGCCACTAATAAACGCACCAATTTGAAGCAGTGTTGTGGCCAGAGTTGGCCGGAAAAAGGCCTGGAAGGCTCGAGTTCTCTCTGAAATCTGGGGAAGTCTCCCCGAGTAGTTTCCTTCGTCGCGAATGAAGGTAGAGGGAGAGAGATTAGCGAGCTTGAGGCTCGTCCCTTCGATTCTAGATGTGGGAATGGGTAAGGAAGATGGGGTTAGAGTATCGTAGTATTACCGGGGTGGTAAGGGTGGCTTAGTGTTTACACTTGCAGAGGAAGGATAAGGACAAGAGATGACAGTCTGAGAAAAGAAGAGCTGAGAGAGATGAAGGAGTTAGAGAGAAGAGAGGTCGAGAGAAATGAGAAAGTGGGAGAGAGAGTTCAACAAGGAAGAGGGAGATAGAGAGGGGACACAGGACAACTTGTGGGCCCCAATGGCTCACACTACAAGATCCACCAAAGACAAGATTTAAAATAAATATCCCAACCAAAGTGAAATTACAAAATTGCACTCGACGTTCCGTGTTTCATAAAAATCCAGGACGAGTCGTTATAATCAGTGAAGCTAAAAACCCAGATGAAATAAAAAACCCAATTTTGAGATTTCTAATCCATTGAAATCAAAGACCCAGATGAACAAAATCAAGGAACAATTAAGCCCAAAACTCAGATAATATCTCTAGAATAGGATTGGCTGCACTTGGGTTCTATCTGCCACCTTTGGAATCCGTTCGAAATCTTCTTGATGCTGATAAGAGGTAGGGATGGAGAAAGATGGAGAGAAAGGAGTTCGCAATCTGCAGAGTAGATAGCAAGATGGGTTAGAGAAAAGCGAGCGTGCTTTCGTTTTAGGCATGAACGGTGAACTCGACTAAATAATACCAAGGTTTTGCTTAGAATAAACAAGCAGGCCTATGGGTATTAAATAGGTGGGGCTAGACTAATAATCTGATGCTTATTTAGTACAAGACTCAAAACACCTGTTTCTTATTATATAGTACTATTTGGTGTCTTATACAGGTGTAACAAACGAGGGTCCAATATATCCATCTATGAGATGAGAAACAAATTCTAGAGGGAAAGAAGAAAAAAGTGGGAAAGTAGAAATGACTAGGCCTTACATTAATATGTTGCAGGTTTCAAGTAGAACTGTATACAATTCACTTGTTATGTATTTTTCCGCACACTACCAAGGTTTTAAAAGATGATAGGTGCTAATTGGGGGGTTGGCTGAGGCCTAGCAACCTAGGCAAATTTTTAATTTTATATAACATATAAATATAAATATCTACTTATACTTAAAAAAAATACATACTTGTAATGTGATACATAAATTGCAAAGTAAACTAACATACATATTATAAAATAATAACATATTGAAAACATAGGGAACAAACATATAATGACTATTCATCCAAGTATTTAACAAGTATCTTACAAGTATTGAAAACATAAAATGCAAAATGAAAATTATCTAGTTTTTGTATAAGCGAGAGTCATGATCTAGACATGTGCTTAGGCAAGTCTAGACAAGTGTCTAGGCGAGTCTAGGCAGGTTAGGCACTCGTCTAGACTCACCTAAACACCCGCCTAGATCGTAACTCTTACTTAGACATCAAGTTCAAGGACGATTTATGTTACAACTTGTGGTAGAGTCATTGAGCTCATGGTAGGATTGGGATTAGTAGTGTTTAGGGTAGTAGTTGTAGGTATAACATCGGTTCGGGTAGAATTGGTGATGGAAATTTCACCATTGGAGAGGGAGGGGGGGTGGGCGGTACATTCTCCATAGGAGGGGGTTCATAAATTTTGTACTCTTGCTATTTCTATATGCAATTCCGTCATTCAAAACACACAAACACGATTAAAAAACGAACCACAAGAATAAAAGAAAAAGGTTTAGAATGTTTCCAAAGCTTACCTATGTTGGCATCGGCTAGAAGTCACTGGAGATGATGAACAATGGCCATGGTAGCCATGACGCAGTGAGATATAAAGGGAGTTAGGTGTTTTCCCCATGTTTCTGGTTTCTAGTTACAAGGGTGGTAACTGTCGTCGAGATTGTTGCCTGGTGGTGTAGTTCGTCGAGGAGATGACGAATGGTGATGGTGTTGTGGGTTTGACAGAAAGGATAGAGAGTTTGAGGGAAATGAGAGAGTCTGAGAGAGGGAGGATAGAGGGTCCACAGATGGTGATGGTGCTTGTCGAAGTGGCAAGGTTAGTCGTGGTTGATGCAGGTGTTGTCATTGTTGGTTGTGCAAGCTCGGAGAGAGAGTTGCAGAGATGAGGGAGGAGAGATAAGGGGAGAAAGATAAGGGAGAGGGTTCTAGAGAGTCCTCGAGAGTTTAGGGAGGAAAATGACAAAAGGAATGAGGGGAAGTGAGGTGCGCACCCC